AAGATATATGGTGAAAATATGTTATTATATTCAAATAATGTATGATAAGGTATATTGAGGATGGTTGATATGATGTTGTGATTTTGTAATATGAAATGTATAAAGAGATGGATGTTACATGTTTGAATATATTGTGGTTCATGTAAAAATGATGTGTATTATGAATATGCCATGATTTGATGTATAAGATGAAAAGTATGCGGACATGTAATGAAAAATATGTGTGAACATGAGAAATGACATATGTGAACATGTGAATATACTAAAAAAAAGTATGAGATGGAAATGAATCTGACGTAAATAGTTATAGAGATACACTGGAAGTGGAAGATGGAGACGATATGGGATATTTTGGAAAAATGCAGGGTGGTGAGTGACATTCAGGGTTCTGCATGGAATATTATGTACGAATGCACCACATGGCCGCACACTCATTTCCCAACTTTACTCCTAACCATTACATTTGCTAAGGGGCTGTCTATTACATGCGTTGTATCCGTGTTGCATTGGGTCAACTCGTCCTAGTTTACTGAAAATGTTGTGTAAGGGTGAGTCTCTACCCTACCACTCATACATAATACATATTCATCATAACAAATATCTTATTACAATTAAAGAAAACATTATGGTATTGTATATCACAGTGCATGGATGGATAAGAACTATTATAGGACTTAATTATTTTGAGTTATGTAATGGATATTTTTAGTTCTATTGCATTCTTTTGAAACAGTTGTAAAATTACTACTTTCTTTGTTGCAGATGAAATTTTAGAATCTTTATTCTTTAAAATATTTATGAATCAATGAAATTTTACTCTATGAACCTTATATCATTTCATTGTTTCTTTCTCATTAAAGAATTTTTGAAAGAAAATTACTTTATCATTTAAATTTTTATGAAAATTCATCATATATTGAGAAAAGAAATATAAGGCGTTACAGAGTATATTCACCCTTACAAACATTTTCAGGTAATAAAGAGATAAAAGAAGATAAATCTATCATAGGATCATACATAGAATGGATTGTAAGGAAGAAAATTGCTCTGTTAGAATTAATTATTTTGAGGAACATAATAAAATTACTTGAATTTTTATTTAGAATTTATAATACTTTGATAAATTCAATTGTAAATAGTTATTTAAGGTGTAGGTGTAATATTTATTAGTTAATTGTTTTAAACTATAAATTATATCTAGCTTTAGTTAAAATTTTAATTTAATGATAAACAATTTTGTTTATATTATGAACTTGAATTATATATATATATATATATATATATATATATATATATTATGAAATTTTAGTTTTTATTCTAATTATAAATTTAAGTTATGAAAACGTATTTTATTTATATTATTAATGAAATTTTTTTATATAAATAAAGTTTTAAAAATTTGATGACTTTTATTAGTTTATATTCATATATTTGTACAACTTTTGAAAACTATTCGAATCTCTTACGATTTTCATTAAATTTTGTCCAAAATTACATATATAATTAAGGAAAATTCTGTAAATTAAAGTAAAGGTGTTATAAATTGGTATCAAAGTAGTTTGTCCTAACAAGCTTGGGTATGAGACTAGTTTGCTTGTGTGGTGTGTATTTATATTCTTATTTTGTAAGAATAAGCTGATTGTTTACTAGTATAATTTATTTGATATTCCCAAATAGGAATTTGTGTGAATTGTTTGAATTAAATGTATAAGTGTATGTGAACGATAGGTTTGCTAACATACATATGATATGTTTATAAAAAATATTCAATCACTAAAAATGGTCACTAAATTATGATTTTCTTATAGTGATGATATCAAATTTTACTTGTATTAACGTCTAATTTCTCATTTTCTAGAAGGAAAATTCGACTTTATTTTATTCTAATTTTTTATTTTCTAGAAAGAAAATTTGACTTTATTTTATTGTTCTTGTTCTATTAAGGCTATCTTATTATTATTATTTTTAAAATTTTTGTCATTCCTTTTTTGCCAGATACAATTGTTTGGAATGTAACATAATAACGGGCATCTTACCAAAAAAGAATAAATACCGATAGTCATATGTATGTATATAAATAAAAATATAGAATTAGAAAACTAAGAAAAAGAGTTGATGAATTTGACTATTCATGAATGTTTAGGCATGTTGGTTTAATTCCTCTTTCTTTGAAGATATAAATTATACAATTTTTTAGAAGGATGTATAAATGAAGATATATAATGTTGGTCTAATTGAACTAGCTTGACCTTATTAGGTTGATAATAGTATGATGCAAATGTAGAGGCTTTTTCCGCTTAACAAGATTCACAAATGGAATTTTAACAACTGTGTTTGTAACCTTCTAAAAAATGAATCCAATAAAATTAGTAGAAATCATTTGCAAAGTATTATAAGAGTTCTCTCTAAATTATATATATATATATATATATAAAGAAATAACACAGCCTTTCAAAATAATACATTCATCGATATTGTACATGATTATTAATCCTAACTTCATAAAACAAATGAACTAGACAATGCTTCACAAGGTAAAAAAAAACTTGGGAGAAAAAATTGTTCTAACTTGTACAAAATGAATGAATCAAAGAAATTATAAGTTTCTTTGACTTGCACAAAATCCATTGGTATTGTACAAGACCATCAATCCTAACTTTATAAGGTAAATGAATTAAAATGTGCTTCGTATAGCCAATGAAACTTAGAGAAAATATTTGTTCTAACTTAAACAACATTATTGCAATATTTTACTCCATTATTTATAATTTATCTTCTCTCTCAAAAGTGGTGAAATTAATTTATAAAAGAATTGACTAATCTTTATAAGTGTGTTACAGAAGGGCTTTGATAATGGTTTAAATGTTATTGGAAGCAAAGGTTGTATGAATAGATAATAATCATGATTTTTTATTTTTCATACCGAACAAATTTGTGTCTCTAATGTCAACGTACTTAGATAAGTTGTTGACAAATCTCATCGAGTAACTTTAGTTTTTTTTACCTATTCAAACACATATACTCTTTGTTATTTATTAAATCTATATTTTGCTTTTAGATTATTTGGTTTCTACCTCTAATCTCTTCTTCTACAAAATTTTCTATGTCTAATCTAGCTTTCAAATGGTCTTCTATCTTGCCTTTAGTCTCTATAACAATACTGCTTAGTTTAGGATTGCTTCAATAATATTAAGTACTTTTGATATTGTGGAAATAAGGAAAAATCCAATGGCAAATAGTGGGAGTTTGCTAGTTTTGGTGGTGTCATTTTAAGGGCAAAGAGTTGAGAACATAAGGTTTAGATAGAGGTTAATAGGGCTTTTCGTTGGATCAGGTTGGACGATTTTGGGTGTAATTAAATCACAAAAAGCTCAAATCGACCTCTATATTATTAGAGTCGTAACTGTCCGCTTAATGGGTCGAATTGAATAGATTTTGGATTAGACAGATTTTAGGTTAAACGGGTCGGATAAGCAGTTTGAGCCAAAATGATCTATTTATCAAAAACTATAAAAAATCTTACAAACATGCCACTCAAAACACATTCAAATCCACACATACCCCACCTAAAAAACCCAATATCAAATCAAACCATCCCAAAAATAAATAAAAAAATACTTTTTGTACTATTCTCCAAAAGTGCCACCCCACAACCTCTTCTTGGACAATCCATCAGCACACTGACGATCCTCCCAGAGTTCCAACCCACCGGTGATGATTCCGGACACAAAAGCTACTGGGTGTTTCACTGTCAATCCTTCCTTCCTCAATTTCACGCCGGGAGGATCCAACAACGGCCCCATTATTGCTTCCGCCACATACTGAGGAAACGACGCCGACATTATACTGTATAAAAATAACAAAAATACTAAAGGGAACATATGAATCCTATTATCCAACAAACAACTATCCACGAACGTTCATGTCTTTATCTTTCCACTCTTCTCCTTCACCATCTCTTCCTTTTGAATATCATCTTGAATATGGAAGGTCCATTGAGTTCGAACTTTCTAATCCTACCTACGAAACGCGCTGCCATTTTCTATGCGTAACTAGGGTTTCATTATTTTTAATATTAATTTAATAGGTAGTCGGGCAGATTCGGATCTCAATTCTTTTTTTCGAATTAAGATCCGAATCTGACCATTTTTAAACATATAAGTCCATTTTTATTGATCCGAATTTCTTCTAAATAAGCCGACCAATCCTATCCATGTTTTAAACATTCAGAACTCGGTTTCAGACAGACTTAGCATTTTTGGACAGTCCTAGATGTTAAAGTGAGGTGATGGGGTGATCAATGCACAAGATGTGGCATTAAAGTTGTGCTAACATATAATATGATAACATTCTTTTCACAAAAATAAATATTTCTTAAGGAATCCGTGAAAATTATATAATTAAAATGTAATAAATAAATTTAAAAATTAAAATATTCATTTTGTTTAATTTATTTTAAAAATATTAATTGAACATGAATATTTAAAAATGTTTTATATATACATATTATTAACGTACATTTAAATTTCCTTAGGATAAAATATAAGAATTTCAATTTATTCTAGATTATAATAATATAATAATAAAAGCTTTTAGTAACTATTTTAGTAAATTCCTTTAGGTATTACATTTCTATTAATTAAGATTTTTAATAGTAGGTTTTGAAATTTTTTCTACTATAAAAACTCATTCATTTAATAACTATATTAGAATTAATAAATACAACATTAATGTATAATAATTATTTTAATGTGTATTTAAATTTTATTATTTTAAAATATGTTGATAAGCTAAATTTATTTTAAATAATAATAGTAATAAATAATTGCATTGTAAACATTTAATGTACCGTATATTCCTTACATTAATTATATATTATATTTAATAAATATGACATTAAATGCTAATCTGAAATCAATTATACTTATATAATATATAGATAATGTTAATTATTTTGTGTGCTGTTTTTCAATTTTAATGTCTAAGAATTAACTAGAGAAATGGCTGAAATAAAGTTGAGTTTCAAAGACGAAAGATGGTCATTGAAAGGGATGAAAGCACTGGTGACAGGAGGAACCAAAGGCATAGGGTTGGTTCTCTAATATAAATCTCAATCATCTCTAATTAGTACATGTTACTACTTTCTTTCTTCTGGTAATTCCATAGTTTTTTATTTTTTGCTTTTTTTCTTTGTAATTTAGCCGTGCAATTGTTGAAGAGTTGGCAGAATTTGGGGCAGTGATTCATATATGTGCACGTAATCAAGAAGATATTAACAAATGTTTGGAAGAGTGGAAAAGCAAAGGATTTAGCGTGAGAGGGTCGGCATGTGACATAATATCACGGGAACAACGTCAAAATTTAATGGAAAGGGTTGCCTCAATCTTTGATGGAAAGCTCAACATTCTAGTAAGCTACTTGTATCTCTTCATTTGATTCTGATGTGTCGAAGAAAGGCTAATAATAATAATATCTTTTGAGAATGTCTTTTTTTTTAATGTGTTTTCTGTGATTTGTTTGAAACTTTAAAAAAGACAGAATTTGTTGGTTAATGTTATTTATTGATTAAAATTGGATTTTATTTTAATAAAACAATTATATTTAATATTATCATCTTATTAAGATAAAACTCTATTTTTTATTAACAAAAACCCCAACAATATGTAAGGAATTATACTTAGTAGTAATCAATTTACGAGATCAATAATTTGACTTTTAAAGAAATAGATTAATTATGTAAAATATGTTAAAGAATATAATAAAAAAGCATAATACTTGAATTTTTTTTATTTGTTTTGATTATTTTAAGGATAATTTTTTTTTCTACTATTAAACGAGGCTTAAAAGCCCAAAGCAAACAACAACCTAGGAAAATAGCCTTGGCTGCAACACTCCAAGAGAGTCAAGATGTAAGAAAGGCTCTAAATAGTCAGGAGTCTCACCAAAAATAGAACAATCCAACCCAATCTCTGGACCACTCTTAGCAAGCCAATCAGCACACTGGTTTGCTTCTCTCTGGACATGCTGGAATCTAACAAACTTAATTCCACTAATCAAATTTCTTATTTTACTAATTACAAAGAAATAAGGATGTTTACAATCTTGAACATTTAAAATAAGAGAGATGGCTTCTTTGGAGTCACATTCGATCCATATAAGTTGGATATTTTTGGACAAGCTGGAGACCCCAAAAAATACCCCAGAACTCAGCCATAATAGGAGTACAAGAATATAGAGATTTGTGAAATCCAGTTATGAATCTGCCTTTGTCATCACGAACTAGACCACCACAGCTAGCTAACCCCAGAGATTGAGAAGATGCACTGTCTATATTAAGTTTGAGCTGCTTTTCAAGAGGAGGCTGCCACTTTATAAGACTATAGCTATCCCAAATGCCATAATTTTTCCTCTGTTTATCCCTGTCATAGAAGAGGAAATAGTCAAAATCAAGCAGAATTTTATGGAGCAGAGCCGCATTAGTCCAAAGGTTGTTTGAAATAGAACACAATTTCTATTCTTTCACAAGTTCCAAACAACACCAAAAAGTTTGTTCCAAACAGTGTACAAAGGAAAATTCAACTTAGACAAATTATAAGTCAGCCAGTTAGAAAGGCCAAGACTAAAGAAATAGGACCAATTATCAGGGGGAAAGATTTGCTTCCAAATAGCTGTAGCTGTCCAACAATCACGAAGAACATGAATAACAAATTCAGGAGCTTCCTGATATCTAAAACAAATAGAAGAATCAGTCAAATTACGATTAGCTCTTTAAATATTAGTTAACAGCCTGCCATGAGCAGTTTTTCATAAAAAAGTAGAAATCCTAGGAGGGCCCTCTCAATCCTAAACAAGTTTAAATAAATTATTATTTCCAGAACAGAAAGACTTAGCATTGGAGATTAAATTGTAAGCAAATTTTACAGAGAAGTTCTCATCATTAGAAAGCTTCCAAAACACCCTATCTTGACCACTAGAAATTACATGCGGATTGGTCTTAGCTATCAATTCACAAGATTGAGCAGGAAGGAAATTCCTAATTTTTGACCAATCTCATCCCCCATGGATGGCAAAGAGGGCCACTGGATCATTTAATTCACTATTAGGGATTTCTTTAATAGTAGAACTTAAGAGATTTTGATTTGGAAGAATCCAATTATCCTTCTAAAACCTGATAGACAAACCATCACCTAAAACCCATTCTAACCCATTATAGAAACAATCCCAAACCGAAACCATGCTCTTCCACAAAGGCGAGGATTTTTGGTTAATACATAAGGAAGGATCTTTTCCTAGGGAGAATTTGTACTTACTACTAAGGACTCTAGCCCACATCTCACCAGGAGTATTAATAAACCTCCAACAAAGTTTCATAATAAAGGCCTGATTCACAAGGTTAATATCTCTAAAGCCTAAACCTTCTTCATTCTTAGGCTTACAAATTTTCTCCTAACTTATCAAATGACATTTTTTACCATTTAGAGACCCCTAAATAAACTTTTTGTAGATAATATTAATTTCTTTACAAATGGCTTTTGGAATAATCATGGATTGCATAAAATAATTAGGGATATTCATTATGCAAGATTGAGCCAGTGTCACTCTGCCAGCAAAGGAAAGAGACTTCATTTTCCAGCTTAAGAGTTTCTTCCTAATTTTGTCAATAAGAAAAGCAAACTCATGCCTAGAACAGTTGAGATGACTAATGGGAATACCTAAATATTTACCAAAATGTATGGACTTTCTGAAACGTAAAGTAAGACTAATATCTTAAATTAAAGGAGAAGGACAATTTCTAGAAAAATAAATAGAAGACTTATCTTTATTAATAGACAAACCAAAGGTTGAACAAAATAAATTTAAAACAGAATTAATAATCTCAGCATGATGGTTATCAGCTTTAGCAAGTAGAATGATATCATTTGCAAAGAAAATATGAGATATTTTAGGGCCAGTAGTACTGAAAGAAAAAGGAGTCCAGACACAATTATTTACCCTATCCTGAATTAAATGGGTTAGTTTCTCAATGCACATAACAAAGATATAAGGAGAAATAGGATCACCCTGCCTAATACCCCTATTAGGCTTAAAACTAGTAGTTTTGCGATTATTCCAATTAATAGACATGGAAGAAGTGGAAATACACTTATTAATAAGATCAGAAATCCTATTATTAAAGCCAATTTCCTGAAGAATATCAGCAATGAAACTCCATTTAATTTTATCATAATCCTTTTTAAGATCAATCTTAATAATCATGAATCTATTTCTATTTTTCATTTTGTCAAAAGAATGAACAAGCTCTTGCAAAATTAGGGTATTGTCAATACCCTGCTTTCCAGGAATAAAACTAGTTTGGTTAGCAGAGATAAGGAAAGGCAGAGATCCCCTAATTCTATTAGCCAAAAGTTTAGTTATAATTTTATAACTGACATTGCATAAAGCAATAGGCCTAAAATGTTTCAAGCTTTCAAGGCTATCAGTTTTAGGAATCAAAGTAATAACAGTATCATTAACAGCAACAATATTTTGAGGATTTATGAACATATCAGAAACAAACCTAAAAATATGTTGTAACATATTGATTTTTATAAAACAAAGCATGAAGCCCATCAGGACTAGGAGACTTGAAATTTCCTATGCTAAACAAGGCAGATTTTACTTCTTCTAAAGTTAACTTAGCCTCAATAATGGTTCTATCAGAATTCCTAAGGGAGGGAAATTTAGATACAGTGGTCAGAATGGTATGAGAAGTATTAGGATCAGTGTAAATATCCCTAAAGTAACTCACAGCCAAGTGCTAGAGTTTCAAAGGGTCATATTCTGAACTATTATATGCATTCCTAAGGGCCTCAATTCTGTTTTGTTGCCTACGGATAATTACAGCTTTATAAGAAAACTATTATTTTTGTCACCTAGTTTAATCCAGCTAGATTTGTAATGGTGAAACCAAAAGGTTTTCTCATAATACAGAATTTTCTGATAATCCATCCACAGAGATTTCATGAGATTGCAGAGGTACGGATTATCTTCCTTTCCTAATTTGCAGGATATTCCTCTAATCCTATTAAGAAGCCTCTTTTTCTGTTTAAAAATATTGCCAAAAACATTGATATTCCAGTCAGTTATATTATTTTTAAATCTAGTCACATTGTCAATCCAAGAGCTGGACTCCAACCAGGAGTTTTGAACTTGATTACTAAAATCATCATGACACAACCAAGGGGCTAGAAATTTAAAGTTCTTAGGCTCCTCTAACTTTGAACCACAGTCCAACATGATCAGATTTTAATATAGGAATATGGATAATTAAACTATTATGGAATAGGGCTCTCCATTGGTCATTAGCAGTAACTCTATCAATTCTTTCTTTAATCTGCCCTCTTTTCTAAGTGAAGGAGTTACCTTTAAACCCTAAATCCTATAATCCACAGGTATTAAGGCAGTCAGCAAATTGGTTCATTAGGACTAGATTCACAGGTCTACCCCCCGATTTCTCATTTTCAAACAAAATAGAGTTAAAGTCTCCAGTAACAACCCAAGGATCATTTATTGATAAACTAAAATCAGTCAACAACTTCCAAACTTCAGCTCTCAGCCCTTTTAGAGGGCTAGCATAGACAGAGAAAAGCACCCAATCTCTCGGACCATTACTAATTCTGAGATGAATAAAGTATTTATTTTTTCCTATAATACTCACTTGAACTTTCTTAGAATTACAACAACACCAGATTCTCCCAGAGAATCCAATAGCATCCATCTTAACATGGCCATCTAGATGAATTTTATTAAGAACTAAATCAGCTTTATCAGCACTTATCCTAGGTTCAAACAAGGAAATAAAATCTAGAATGTATATTTTCACAAGGTCATTTATGAGTCTGGAAAATGTCCTACCCCTTGCCCCCTACAATTCTAGAAGAAATAATTCAAAAAGTTAAGATAACGGTTTAGAAGCATCCTCAGGATGCTGGGTCAACTCCAATGTTCTACCACTAATCATCCTTATCAAGGATTTGGTTTTCATTGATAATCTTATTTGTCATCATTACTAAGGGTATATCAGGTGGCTTATCAGTGGGAAGATGACCTAAGGTCTCAGAATTCATACCTATAAGATCCAAGATATTATTACCCATTGTATTGTTATTTAGGAGGCTATTATGAAGTCTGGACATTAAACTAAGAGTCTATTTACTCTCTAGTTCAGATCTATTATTAGGGATAACTTGATCAGTCCTAATGTTATTAGGATTTTCAGTTTGAAAAGGGCTAACTTTCTCTTTTCCCCCTTTAGTATGTTTTGATAAAGATTTAGCTTTGTAATTTTTTTTAAGTTCTCACCAAGTTTAGGATTAGGACTTTTATTAACCTGTTTATTAGAAACAGAATCCTTAATTTGCACACAATTACTCCTATTAGATTCTGAAATTTTATTATCAACAGTTTCTATTTCTTGGGTTTCCTCCTGAATTGCATCCCCAAGTATGTCAAATCTAGATCCAACAGTTGAATCCCTAAATTTCCCATTTTTAAGGGAATTTTCAAAAGTTAAAAGGTAGTTAGTTTTTTTCCTAAACTATTTCTTGGCTAACATCCAAGGTCCAAATTGTTCAACTATCTATCCAACATCAGAATTCTGAGAGTCTATAACCATATCCTTAGCTATGCTAGAGTCATCAAGACCTTCTCCCATCCTACTAGTTACATTCCTCTTAAGGGGTACCTAAAACTTGAATGGTGGTTCCACACTGCTCTTGCCTATGTCCATATTTCTCACATTTGAAGCATATTAAGTGTAAACCCTCATACTCTACTTTGAATTCTTGACCTAAAACTTTGAAAGCAGGGACTAATTGCTTCCTAAGGTTAATTTCAGTACAAATTCTAACAAATTTACCCCTAGATAGCAGGGATTTATAGGGATCCACTTTCAACATTGATCCTAAGCAAGCTCCAACTTGCCACAGAAATTTATTGTTATACAATTCAAGGGGTAAGTCAGGAATACGAACTCACACAGCTATTTTCTTTATAATATAGTCCTTAGTCTAGAATAGAGGCCTCCACCTCTGAACTAGAAGATAATGGTCCAAGATTAACTAAGGTCCTTAAAAAAGAGCATATTTGTAATCTTCCATACTCCTAAATAGAACTAAATCTCCGGTTTAGATAGTTAAAGCTCACTGACTTTTCTAAAAGCTTAACAATAAGGGAGAACTTCCAAAGAAAGCATCAACCCTCATAATCTTTAAGGGGAATTTTAAGACTAGGGCAAAGATTTTGATCCTCACTTCCTATCACATTAGATTCATCATTTTCAGGATGGATATTAAAATCTTCTAGCACTGATTTAATGATTTCCTCATCATTTAGAACTAAATCAAGATCTTTTGACTCCAGAACTTTATCTTTATATGATAAAGGTACAGAAACATTAAGGGTAGAAAACACTTGAGATTGAATCGGGTTTAGTGAGCGCAGTTCTTCTTGCATGAGTTCCTCTTACTCTTCAGAGACCGCCTCAGATCCCATCTTGGCCTTTTTCGTACTTCAATTTATCAAATCTAACTCTTCTTTAGATCGTTTTTTCGCTTCATAACGCTTCATCCTTTCTCGATCCTCTTGGCCAGAGATCTAAAACCAGAACCTTTAGCTTTCTATCCCCTGCCTTGCATTTTGTCCCTCGGTAGGTCACAGGCTGGCTAGGGCGAAAACCCTAGCAACGTCTCTTTTACTCCTCTTCTTAAAAAGAAAGAAAAGCTTTCTTGAAGCCCGAGAAAACCCTATTCTCTTCCTTTTTACGAAGTAGTATATAAATTTTTAACAACAAAGAGAAAACCAATTTAAAATCTTTCTATTTAAAAATACATTAAAAATTTTCATTAATAATTAGATTTATTTTGTACAAAAGTAATAGGTCTAAAAAAATAATGTTTTTCCTAATAACTGTAAAGGGCCATTTCTAAAACAAGTTCTAAAATAGGTTATATAATATAATAGCACTTAATTTAAAATTTATCTAAATATGTCAAATAATTTAAAAACTTTATTTTAGATTAATCTAATTAATTAATGAATTAATTTAGAGAAATGGTTAGTTTGTGTGTTTGATACAAGTTGTTTAAAAAGAGTGTATCTGAAAAATGCACACTCTGAATATAAATGATCAAAGTACGTATTGTAACTTGCAAGAAGACAACCAAACATAGTAGCTGGAATGCTTCTAATGCAAAACCTTTGGTCTATGTACAATGAAACTCTCATGTTTCAAATATTTTGCTTTTAAGTTTTCAGGTACTAAAATCTGTTAATGTATATCAAAAGGTACAAGAATTTTTCTGTCGTTAAACTTCATACATGATGTATGGTTATTCTTGTATCTCTGTTACAGTTACTTGATTTTCCCTAAATTAGTTGTATTTGAGATTAGTTAGTAAACGATTATAATAGGTGAACAATGCTGGAATAAGTGGGCCTAAGAAAATCATAGATCATACTGCTGAAGATATAACAACTATAATGGGTACCAATTTTGAGGCTAGTTACAACCTGTGTCAACTTGCATACCCCCTTTTAAAAGCTTCTGGAAACGGGAGCATCATATTCATATCCTCTGTTGCAGGCATGGTAGCTATGCCTCTTGGTTCTCTCTATGCAGCTTCTAAAGGTTTTTCCTTTTTTCTTATTCATATTCTTCAAATGTGAAAGCAACATGAAATTTGAGTCAATAATCAATGTGTGCACAAATTTAATTCAGGAGCTATAAATCAACTCACTAAGAACATAGCAATGGAATGGGCAAAGGATAATATCCGGGCAAATGCTGTAGCACCCGGACCTGTTAAGACCTCACTTTTGGAGTCTTTCATGGTATGTAGAGTTATTAAGTGAGTATGTATTCAATTTTAGTTCTCCAATTATAAGCAAGTTTTTTATTTTATAAAAAATTCAGTTTTATTTTTTTTCGATAAAATAAGATTTATTTTAGTCTATTTTAATATAAAATAATAATAGAAAATAAAGTACAAAAGACTAAAAAATTAGTGATCTTTAAAAATTTTAAAATTAAATTGAGATTTTTATAAAGTTTGAAACTAAAGTATCAACGTTTTTAATTTCAAGAATCAAAATCGGTATTGAGTTGTTTTTAAAGTTTAGCTGTTTCGAGGCACGTCAAAATTGATTGGCATCACATGTCTTTGCTACCTATATTGTATAGTTGTAACAATGACATAAGTTCTGTTGCATATTATGTTAATAATTAATTTAGTGAGCATGCTGAAAGCCTTTATGTAATTGCTCGTTATAGAATTCTGCTGAAGGGGATAAGGTCGTAGATGATGTGGTGTCTCAATCACCTCTTGGTCGCATGGGAAAACCCAAAGAGATATCAGCAATTGTTGCTTTTCTTTGCCTTCCAGCTTCTTCATACATCACTGGACAAATTATAAAAGCAGATGGAGGTTTCACAATTTAAAATGTTTTGCTAAATTTTAAAACTACAATAAGACCGAAAAACAAGATCTCTAGATCAACTTGTTTTGACTCAAGCTCCAAAAAATAATTTTGTTAACATAGTTGTTCCAATGTATGTTATGATCTATTGCCTTCACTGTCTTGGATATCCCATTTGTATAGTTAACTAGCTTATTTCTATATATGGGTTATAGTTTGTGTATGCTAAATTTCTTATTAAGAATGATTATGGGGGGATGTCTTCACCATGGCACTTTGTGTCGTGGCTGGAAATGATTCAAACTAGATTATCAAAACACTTATTGGGCAAAGGTTACAACAGAATTATAAATTACAAACTAAATTTGATTGTGATCTAAAATTTGCTGCTAATTCGCGGTTGGTGGTTTGCATTTAATGGATATTTACTTTTTTCAAAGATTTACTTCTTTTGTATCTTCATTCCTATGTTTAAATCATTTTCTTCTGGTTGAAATACTCTTACCCATGAGCATAATGTCTTCATAGGTGATAAAAAGAAATATAAATTCTATAAGAGTACATGAACTTAATCTTATAAGCATTACTATTAATCTTTTACATTTAAGCCCATAAGCTCCACAAAAACTTTTCTTTTCCCCCAATTGACTTCATGCTGTCTCCTTTAAAGTAGCTTGCCTTCAATACCTATATCACATAGCTTGCCTCCAACGCTTCTCTCGCTAAGTCTTACCCTTTGAGTTTTGCTTCTCAATATGCAATAGAATATGTTCGTAGAGTTATTTCATCTCCTTTGCTCTTAATTCCACATTTATAATGAATTGATTGCAAGTGGAGAGATAGGAGTCAAGTCCAAAGAATTGAGAGGTTGAGAATCATACATTGCGTTGAAGGGACATTTCTATAGTAGCTTGATTGATGGAATTATGGTAGGTAAATTTGACTTGGACAAGAATAAAGTCTCACTAGCTAAGATTCTCCCACCGTAGCTTTGCAATGAATGTCCTAGATATTTATTGGTAGCCTCCATTTGAGCATCAATCTAAGGTTGACTAACACTACCGTTGCAGTCTACTACTCATCTTTTTCCAAATTTCAAGGACTAAGACACAATCCTAAAACAAAATTTATGATGATTTTGCTTTAAAATTGAGTTAAAAAAATTTTGCTTACTCTTTCCTTCTTCGTAAAATACATAATTTTTTCTCATTTTTCTTTCTTACTTTATTACCCGCCATCTAAACAAACTATAAAAGTCTAAACTTAAAATACAAGTGTAAGTTATTGCAAGGGTAAGATGGAAAGTTAGATTATTCAATACTCAAAACACTAAGTTCAATAGGAACAAATTTTGTATGGTCTTAAACTACCGTGGTCCTAACCAATTATACAATGACATGTATACATTTAAAAAAGAAATGTTGACACATGCCAAGATATTAGTGGTCAGGACCACCTAATAATTTTATGGACGTGTTTAAGTCTTTTGCATATTGATTCAAAATTTCCTGCTTAAAATTGAGCTTGACCACTTTTCACAAATTAAGGGTGATTTGATAGAAACAAAGTTTTTGAAAAATTAAACTTGACTCTGATTTAACATAAACTTGCTTTCTAGAAGCATTACGATGTTTAACTAATATTTAAATAATATAAGAACTATTTAGTAAATTGAAAGTTGAATATTAATTTTATAAAATTTTAACTTTATTTTATGGCGTGTACTTCCATAGTCCTCTAGAGATAGGCTCATTGATCGATTATGGGAGGTTTTGCCAGTTTTGTGGAATTTGTAGAAAAGGAAAGCAAACAAACTCTATCACTCGCATATGTTACCTCATAATCTTTGCTATTGCCATCGGACACTAGGCCTAAACGTTGGGACAATGCGTGTCAATGGTTAATAGATTCACCCACCAATGAAGATTGAAGAGCTTCCATTATTCCCCATTGTCCTTAACAAAAATCTCTCAAGCATCTTCAACCCTAAGGCTGCATTTGGTTGCCAGAGAGGGACATTAGGACAGAGACACGGAGACACGTGTATCATGTTTGACGAGTGTCCCACTTGAGAGACAGAAACACAAAGAACACGCGGGACACAAATTCGATGGACACCAGTATATCTCGTGAAAATAGGGACACTGGTGTCCCGGTTGTAGGGACACGGAGAAGTGATTTTTGAAGATAAAAATGCCCCTACTAGCTTTAAAATATTACATTCCTACCCTTGGTGCTACACTTCTCTTCTCCATCATCTTCAACCCTAGTTGTGTCTGCAGCCATCTACTTCAACCGAGAGGACCCAAACCGCGCCACCATTGCACCTGCAGCTGAGGTAATGTTTGTCTTCGTTCATCAATCTTCACGATGAGTTCTTTCAATTTCTAACTGCTCTCATCTCTTGTGACATCTCTTTTTTGTTTTTGTTCTCCATTTAGGCTCTTTGTGGTGACCATTTGTGAGGATCCTCTGGAAAAGGTAACAACTGCTCATTGCAATCTACTTTTCATGGATAACTTTTACTATTTTAGTTTTTGAACATTGTTTCAAATGTTTTATTGTTGTCGTTTCTTCCTGTATAATATTAGTTAGGTGTTTATGTAGCGTATAATTCATCTGTAAATTTTCCTTTCCATGTTTAACAGTTGTAGCTTGAAATGGACGTGTCAGTATCACTATTTTCAGTTCTTGAACATTGTTTCAAATGTTGTTTTGTTGCTGCTTCTTCCTTACATAATATTGGTTGGGCGTATATGTAGCTGGTTATCGAGTTGTAAATTTTGCTTTCCATTTTTAACGCTTGTGTAATAATTCCATTCTTTTCCTTGAAGAGAGCAGCTGCATACATTTTTGTTGACCTGCAATTAATCACAAACTTTCCATAGCAGTTATAGTTGTGATTCAGTAGCCTGTAAAACAAATACATAGCCCAAAACAATTAGTCATTTGCAGCCTCTATTTTGGTTATCTTGTTTTGGTATATAATTGTAATGCTAATTTGTATTTGGACAATTACACAAAAATTCAAAGTACTTGTGAAGTACATTTTTGCTATTGGAATTTTTGTTTATCCAGTTAAACTTGGAGTGTGTATAAATGGTTCTTGTTATAAGTGCAAAATCGAGTAAACAAATCATTCTTCATTGTTCAACAGCATACCATCCAAGCCAAACTTCTAAATTTGGTATGTTATACCAAAAAAAAGACTAGTCATTTGACATTCTGCACTTTGGACAAAATTTGGGTTGCTTAATAGGAAGGGATGAAGCATTTGGACAAAATTTTGATGGTTGTTGCATATTATTGGATGAAGAGGTAAAGATTACGCAACTTCATGGTCATGGTCATGTTGAGGATGTATATGAATAAAAGGAATAGAAGTATTGATGATGGTTTTCATAGTCGAAGAGTGAACACTAATGTAGTTAGGCAAGATGCACTAGAAAGCATCATTGGGGGTGGGGGTGATAGGAATTGTATTTGGAAGTTACAGATGAATTTGAGTGCATTCTTTTCCCTATGTGAATTACTTCAAATTCAGGGTGGGTTAAATGTTGATGGTCATGTTAGCATAACTAAGCAAGTAGCAACTTTTCTAATGATATTGGCCCACCATAGAAAAAATCGTAGCATCCAAGTTCGTTTCTGTAGGTCGGGTGAAACCATTAGTAGAGATTTTAACAAGGTGTTGTGTTCAGTCTTGCGTGTCCAAAGTTTTTTTCTTGCTAATGCCGAACCTATCCTAGAAGATTGTATGGATCCTAGATGGAAATGATTTAAGGTAATGTTGCTCGACACCTACTTGTGAAATGTGTATGTGAACATAATGTTTACACAATTAACAATAATTGTTTGGTTTACGATATAGGGTTGTCTAGGAGCATTAGATGGCACGTACATAGATGTTACTGTGCCGGAGATGAATAAAAGTAGATATCGGACAAGAAAAGGCCAGATCTCCACCAATGTCTTAGGAGTATGCAATCAGGATATGAACTTTGTCTACGTCCTTAGTGGTTGGTATGTTGAAATCAAAAGTTCGTAAAAAAATAACAATTAGAGTAATTCATCCACTTTTGACTTAATTGACTAATTTTTGTCCTTCTATGTTCATCTAATAGGTAGTTATTATTTAGTTGATGCTGGTTATACAAACGGTAGAGGTTTTCTAGTACCGTATAGAGGTTCACGCTATCATGTGCAGGAGTGGACACAAGGAAATCGTGCGCCTCGTAACTACAAAGAGTACTTTAACAAGAAGTACTCCTCAGCTAGGAATGTCATTGAGCGTTGTTTTGGGCTGCTTAAGAAGAGATGGACAATTCTAAGGAGTTCATCATTCTATCCAATTAAAACAAAAAATCGTATTATACTTGCATGTTGTTTGTTGCAAAACTTCATTCGAAGAAATATGGACGTTGATCCTCTGGAGGAGTCAATTGACGACGGTGATCAAATGCCGACAGTTGAAGGTACCATAAATGATGTGGAGACGATCGACCGACAGTAACCCAGAGTGGACTCTGTGGCGAGATACTCTTGCCCGTGAAATGTTCGAAGAGTGGAGAAGCGAGCGTACCACCTAGAGTTATTTGTAATACAACCCTTAACATTTATGTTATTTCATGTACTCGGATGATTCTGATTGGTTATGAACAATTGTTGAGTCTTCTATGCATTGTACTCTAGAACAATTTGCAATAAGTCAGTTGGTTAAACTTTGAATATGGTTCATGTGTTTATGTTGCACCATTTTGATTATACTTTTGCTTCTTTTTTTGTTCATTGCATTTGGCTTGGACTTCTCTATGATGCTTTGGTTTATTAACATTTGTTAAGGGTAGATGGCAAAACCACTTCCACGTCAATGGACAGATAGTGAGACTGAGCATTTGGTATGCTTTATAGAAGAATTAGTCATAGATGGACATAAGGTTGATGCAGGTCAGTTTAAGTCTGGCGCTTTCCAAAAGTTTGCCGATAAAATGAACGAGAAGCTGCCTGGATGTGGGATAACGA